TGACACTGGGGGGGGGGAACTGAGGCATCCAGGCTGGGGAGCTGGCACTGGGGGACTCTGGGGACTAGCAGTGGGTGGGGTCTGGGGGAAGAGCTGACACTTGGGGGCTCTGGGGATAGGGCTAATATTGGGGGCTGGCATGGGGGACTGTGGTGGGGTTGGGTTCAGTGGGGTTCTGGAAACAGGAGGCTGGCACTAAGGGGTCTGGTGGGGGGCTCTAAGGAGTGGGAGGCTGGCACTACGGTGGTTGGGATGGGGATTGGCACTGGGGGGCTCTGAGGGCAGGAGGCTGGCAGTGGGGGGGTTGGGTGCAGGGGACTCAGGGTTCAATGGTTGGTGCTGGCGGGCTTTAGGAGTTAAGGAGGTAGCACTGGGAGGCTCTGGGGGCTGGGGCTTTTGGTGGATCGGTAAATGTGCAAATAAAATGTTACTGATCCACCAAAAGTTTGTGAATGGGTTTGCCGGTCCCTAGTATAAAAAAAGGTTAGGAACCACTGATATCGTTCACAGAAAAGTTTAATATGAAATGTGACTAGTGACTTGTGTTTGCCCTAGTCATGCAGTCCTCACGTCAGGATTTCAATGGGGGTGAGTAACATCATTAACAACTCTCACAATTTTATCCTCCCGAATCTTGAAATATTTGGCTTTCGCATGAAGCCCCAGCTTCTAGAGTCATCCTGAGATTCTCAGCTTTCATTTTCAAAAAGAACGTTTTGTAGCCCTTGTGGCTGAATAGAAAATAATTGAAGACGTGAGCCCTAAAGGCTCCAAAGATAAAACGTGAATCAAAGATCCCATCATTTGTAAAGCTGTATTGTGACTTAGGGGTATCCCACCTCATTTCCCTAACCCCCCGATTGCCCACTATGATGTATATTCACCCCGAACAGCCACTCAGTGAGGCTTTATGGGATTTATAAAGCTTTGAAGCACATTGGTAAGTCATTGCAGAGACCTGCCTTTGTCTCCGTGGACTGCAGGAGTCTCTGTGCATGAACAGGGGCTCCCTGACCTCATCTGCAAAGGCCCACACGCTGCAGTGACAGCCCCCTCCCCCAATGTTTTTAAAGGGTTGGCTGTAAGGGTTCCAGACAGCAGCTACCAGGCAGCCTCTGACAGAGGAAGCCCCCCTGCTGGATTCCAACTACAGTCTGCATCCACAAAGTCAAGCTGGGTCACTGCAGCCCAGTCAGCTACACTGGGAAACTCAGTAGGGATCCAAAGGGTTTTGCATGTCTTCTTGGGAAAATGCGAATCACATATCAGCCAGAGAGGCTATGCCCATCTAGCTTATGCTATGGGTTGGGAGAGCGGATTGCTAATATAACAACATTCACGGTCTCTCTCTTCCCTTCCATATAAAACAGAAGCAACAACTGAGCTGTTATAATCTGATAAATTGGATCGACATGAAGTACATGCACATGCAGTGAAGATGAGCATTGGTTCAGAGCTCCACCACGGGGTAAATCTGAACATTTCTGTGTCCTCACAAAATCAGCAGCCCTCTGCCAACCAGTGACTGTCACTGACACCCAGATCCCTGTCTGCAACCACAACACACATTTTCTTCAATGCATGTCTTTCTTTCCAAATTTACTTCATGGTGAGAAGTGCCAGCCCAACAGCTCTGCAGACAACAGTCCCTGTTTACTCACAGGAATGGTCCACCACTGGAACTGACCATGCAATTTTCTCTCAAACTGTCCACTCAAATGAATCAACACTGGTCTGCTGGGAACTCTGTAAGGTAGCTCATTCTCCATGGTCCAGTCTATCTGCAGTCTCTCTGCAGTCTATCTGCTAACCAACTTGGCCAATTATGATGATAGCTTTTGAAATCTGGAAGCTACCATCTCATTTCCCATTGACCACCATGCTTCATTTGGGTTCCATGGTTCATTTGTGGCTTCCGAAAGCTGAAGAATCAGTTTTCCACCTTGTTCTGAGCCATCACATACACAGGTTTCGTATGGTAGTGTTTTGCTTCTAAAATAAATGTAATTACAAGGCTTCTATGTCCATCCACTTAATATTCTTTCCATTGTCCATTTGAAAATATTGCCTGAATGGACAAGAGCATATTTAAAGTTTCTCAGAGCAGGTACAGAAAATATGTATTTTATATTATACTCCACTGATTTTTTTATTTATATTTCCATTCAAAAATGTTCTCCGAGAAGAAAGAAATATACCTCTGCAGTGTTTAAAACTCAAATGCTGCAGCATTGTGCTAGCGCATGAGAACTTGAACATGAAAAAGACTAGAAACGAAAGTAAAATTGACTATATCAATTTTGTATCCAAATAGAAACAAATACCAAAGAAAAAAGAAAGAGAGAAAAAAAAGGAAAAGAGAGTAAAAAAGAAAAAGCATAAATAGCAGTGGGTAAATTATATTTTTTAAAATTCTTACAGTTTTTATAAACTAATGATGTACTGTAATTATTGTAATATAAAGAAAGACAATTAATAAGTGACCTGATACCTTCCCCTTTTATGGTGGTGTACAAGAAGAATAACTCCAACAACATCAATGGAGTTACAGTGGTGTAAAATGGGTGTGAATTTAGAGGAGAATCAGTCCCAATATTTTCATGCTCTTCACTTAATAAAGTCTTGTCACTGCATTTGAGCGAACAAAATTTACACTTAGGGTCCCGTTCTGCTCTTATTTACACCCAATGTCAATCTGGAGTAACTAGGAGCAGAAATTTTGCCTTTATAATCTATATTAAACAAACACATCATAAATATAATGTACTAGTAGTGTCGATATTTTGGTACAATTTAGCATACGGTTCACATATTGACTGTTTAATACTCTAAGGGTTAAGTACTCATATATTAAGTACTTTAGGGGTTTTATTTCCACTCTCTTTTCCTTCAGCATGTTATAATTTGAGCTCTAGCTCTGGAAATACACAGTCTCCCCAATAATCTGCGATTTCTATGACTAACAATCAGATCCATGACATCTGACCATTGTCTGCTTGACAAGTTCCCTTCCATAGGACCTGTAAATAATTTTACATTGCCCTATTCCATCTTCACTGCTTACACACTGTCGTCAAAGACTGGGATTTCCAAAAATCCTAAGGGAGTTAGGCACCCAACTCCCATTAACTTTTGGCCTCTCCCCAGAAACAGTACCCACTGCCATTTTAAACATAACAGTAGCAAAAATTTTCAGGCGCTCTATATCACATTTTGGCTGTTTAGACATGGGAAGCCTCAAAGCCACTACTAACACAAATCAAACCACTGACTCCGTTTTGCAATGTAACGCCTCACCTTTCCGCTTCAAGGCGCATTTCCTCGCGCTTTTGCCTCCTGAGTTCTCTGCGGCGTTCAAAGTCATCCATGGTGCGTATTCAAACTTTTGGAACTCCAAACAGATCTGAATCTAAACCAAGAAAGGTAGATGAGTTAGAAGGGAAATAGAATGCAATGGATTCATTTAACCAACTGAGCTAATTCACTTTTATTTTGCTTTATAAACTCCACTGGTAATATTTTATTTTTCTATCCATAAACTGCCTCAATATTGCTGAGATAAACAGGATTAACAAAATGCCTAGTAGGATAAACACAGTCCATTCCGGAGTTTAGTTTCCTAGTTATAATTAAATCAACATGCATTAACCTAAGTACTGTATATATCTTCTAGCCACAGACTAGCTATTTGTATTGCCACAGGTTCTCTCCTACAAACAATAGCAAGAATTCACCAGGACTGTAATTTTTTTAACTTCAGTTTTTACTACTTGAAGTACTACACAACATTTCTCTTTTTTCTAGCTGCATAGATAACAAGACGTTCCGGAAAGGTTAACCCAAAAAGAAAGAGACAGAAAGAAAAGAAGCCAGAGCTTTTAAATACCACCCAGAAGGAGACAAGTTGTACATAAATCCTACTTAAAGAAGCAAAAGCAACATTTTTTGTTATTTAATCCATGCATTTTAATCATGCCATACCTTCTCCTTGTTAATTTAGTCCATGAAATATTTCTTCTTTATAGTTCTTCATATACAAAGCCTTTTCAGCCTTCGTTTATATCCCATCAAGCTGAGTATTACAGAATTCCCCTGCAGCCCCCAAACCAAAAATGACTACCAGAAAAGGGAAAGCTGTTCTCTTTTTGTCCCTGCTTTGTTTACAGAGCTGTCAGTGGTTAGTTAAACTCTGCCTGGAATCTGGCATTTAAGGCCTGCTCTAAGATTGCTTCCTGTGTAGAGCTGGAGGCCTCAACTTCCTCTGGAATCCTAGCCTAGACTCTGCACTCAGAGAGGTTTTTTTTTTCCTCTCTTAAAAACATTTTCCAGCTCTTTAGTACAAGAACAGCCGCTTACACTGCATAAAGAAGGAGCTCAGAGACGGTCTCAAATTGAAGTGTAACTATTAACTGCTTCCAATTTAACAGAAACAAAGAGAAACTGAATTCGTTATTTGAAGTCATTTTTTAAAAATCTGTTTATCCGTCTTAAAGATTTATCGCTGCATCATCTGAGCATCAACAACAACAGTGAAGTCTTTAGTGGACTTCAGGGAATCCCTAGCACAGCTCCTTTTTGGGGGTAAAAATCTCTGAGGTAGGGTTGGCTTTTTTTCTGTTGTTTTTTGAAAAAGCTATTAATCACAGAACAGGATTTTTGGCACAATTTTGACCTCTACAGCAGAAATGCAGCTTTTCTTAAAGCATATTTAGCAAGTTCTGGTGAGACTTCCAGCAGAGAACCCCAAACAGCCTGGAGAGCGATCCAGGGAAGGTAGTTGACCACTTTTGAACTTCATGAAAAAAAACCCCAAAAAATAAAATTTCTCTCTGGCAAATGCCTGGGAAGGATAATGGAAAAATATTTCTTACTTTCCCTCACCTCTAGCATGGAGACTGAACTAATCTTTCAACGTGGACCCAATTCAGCAAAACACTTAAGTGCATGCTTAGTTTTAAGCACTTAGCTTTAAGCACGTCCTTCTGTCCATTCACTTCACTAGGACTACTCATGTGCTTAAAGTTAAGCACATAATTAAGTATTCTGCTGCATAAGGGCCATAATATCTGAGTAGTGTAGAGGCAGCAACTTGCATTGCTGTGGATTAATAAACTCATTCAGTCTGTCCGGCTGTCAATCACCTTTCCATTGTACAGATGGAGCTCTCAGAAAGCGACAGTGATGGTATGCTTATGCATCATTTTAAACCTACTGGAGCCAAGAAACACAGAGCCAGAGCACGTTCCCTAATATAGAATTACTACTTATTGCAAAGTACTCTATGGCTGCCACCACTGGTGACGGCACAGTGCCAAGGCATGCCATTCCACTTTCCTCTCAGTACAATGAAACAATTGCAAACTTCCTTTCAGCAATGCTCAACCTAGACAGCCCAAAAGCTTGTACCCACTGGGTGAATTTCCAGCAATTTACTTAGTGCTAGTTCCCTCAATCCTGTGTACTAGATGAGCTGATGATCCCCCTCTGTCCTTAGACTCTGGAATGCATACAGAAGCCTTCAGTCTGATAATGGCAGAGTGGATGGCAAGGTGAGATTACTATTGGCGCCAGTGACCACAACTCCAATGAAACCAGCTATCTTTTGCTGATTTACCCCTAGCTGTGAATTTGACCCATTGTTTGAGAAGAGGACAGTGTAGGAGGCTTCCTGGATTTGAAGGTGAGGAAAGGTCCCCAGATTTAAGATACACTATGCCCCCCCCTTTTTTTTAAGCAAAGTCAACCCACTTGCGCAGTTAGTCCAGGGAGTCAGAATGCAATACACGCCAGCCACATACCCGGCCTCCTTCCTCCTGGCATTCCTCCAACAACAGAGGCAGCAACAGGAATGTAGCGTAGTGTCCATCTCCTTATTCTGCACTCCTTGGAAACCCCATTTATGCAGGGTTATTTCCTATGGTCCACTTTTTATGGCCACTTTATACAGATAGAATGGCATAAAGGGACCAGAGCAGAAAGGAAATTATTAAGAAAATGAGAAACCCAATTTCTAGTCTCATTCTCCTTCAGGCTGATTATTAAGGGGAAAAAAATCTTTAAAAATAACAAATAGTCCTGCAACACATTAGAAACTAAAAAAATGTAGATGGTATCATGAGCTTTCATGGGCACAACCCACTTCTTCATAAGAATGCGGTTCAAGGGGTCCAAGTTCCAAATAAATAGCAGAGAAAGAGAGGGGATGGGAAGGGAAAGGAAAAGAGAAAAAAATGGCATTGGTGAGTTGTCTGGCAGCTTCCTGCTCATAGTCTGTTCTGTTCATGATGACTATAGCACCCCCTTTCACCAACACCAGATTCTACTGGCTTCTCTCCCTCTGAACCCACTAACGAATACCAAAAAACTAAACTATCTGCTCAGGAAACTTTCTGCTACAACTCCAGACGAAATCTACACTAACACTCCCCCAAATCTCAACCAGGAGTTTTCTATGTACTACCCAAAATCCACAAACCTGGAAATCCCGGATGATCCATCATCTCACGCATTGGCACACTTATACTATCTGGTTATACTGACTCTCTCCTCAGACCCTTTGCTACCAGCACTCCCATCTATCTGAGATATCACAGACTTCTTGAAGAAACTAACAGAACATCAGGAATCTTCCTGAAAACACCATCCCAGCCACCATGGACGTAGAAGCTCTTTACCCCCAACATTCCACACAAAGATGGATTACTGGCTGTCAGGAACATTATCCCTGATGATGCCACTGCACGCCTGGTTACAGAGCTCTGCGACTCTGTCCTCACCCACAACTATTTCCAATTTGGGGACAATTTATATCTTCCAGTCAAGAGCACTGCTATGGGTAGTGGTGGATTTAGAGTTAGTGGAGCCCTGTGCTCAGCTTCATTTTTTTGGCCCCCTGTGGACCCAGACAAGAAAAAGAACATTCACTTTTCCTGCCCCTCTCATTTTCATTCTTTTTTCTCCTTCCTCTTCCTCTATTATAAGTAATAAGTAGTAAATGAAAATAAAGTGAGGTACCTAGATTGTTTTTGTAGGCTAACTTTTTTTCCCCCGCAGATCACTTGAAAATTGCTAAGTACAATTCAAGATAGTTGCTAACTGTTAGCCATCCAATCTTTCTCCTAAATTGGTAGCTGAAAACTTTATTTTTACTCTTTTGCTGCGCTTTTACAAAGATTGTCTTTTTAAAAAGTTTTTTTTTATATATATATATTTTTTGTCTTTATGGTCTTTCCCCTCCACAGATATAGGGATTACTGGCTTCTCCCCACACACAAACACTCTGGGGATGCTGAACTCCCCCCAGCTCTGGGGCTGTTACCCTCCTGGTTCTGGGGCTGCAGCCCCCCATTAGTCTTGGGCTGCTGCTGGGGGGCCGGTAGCTGGAGCTGGGGGGGGGGGCGGGCTGGGCCA